ATTTTGAAGCCCCATTTGTGAAACCACTTTTCCATGGAGTCGAGACTAGATAAGGTGATTGATCGTACGGATTCTTCCGTTCGTCGCCCAGCGCCAACCCCACTAGCGTGCGTTCGTGAGATGCACCACGACAGTTAGCAAGTGCATGTTTCTTCAAAAAACGCCGGAAGAAACGTGAGGATATGGATGGAACATTCTAGATGGACACGTCGAGAAGCTACTGGAAGGTTCTGTGCCACGTGTGACGCCACACAGATACCTGCACAGGTTACACTCATTACTGCATAGAGAGTGGGGCTCTAAATCTTTTCAAAGTCCATGGATCAATAAGCCAGTTAGTCTGTGAATAACTAGCCAACTGTCTACAACGCACATTTATAATTCGTGTAACAATTGTTTAATAAATATCACATTATATTATTTCAAACACAAACATTGTGTTTTCCATAGATTATTAATCTTAATCCCAAGATTAAATTCTAACAAAATAGATAAATAAAAATTGTATAATTCTATTTTTCCAATTTTTATTGAGGCAAGTTTCTGTGATATTCATAATCGAATCGACTCCGGTTTGGAAAGTGTTGAGCGAAAGGAGAATATCGACTGTACCAAATTATCATTGCACGTTTCTTTTTTCAGAAAATCATTCTTTTCGTCTGAATCAGTAACTGAAACAGAGAACCATGGTATATTATTTGATAATAATATGCACTGTCGTTGCAGTACTTCTAGTTTATTATTACTATATATTAGTATTTAATTTCTGGAAGAAGCGCAAAATCTCGGGACCAAAACCAGTATTCTTCTTTGGAAACTTTATAGACATCATGTTTTCAGAAATAGCTTTGCCACAATATATTAAAAATCTTTACGAAACCTATACAGGTAGAATGATTGGGTTATACATGAGATCGACGCCCGTACTAGTTTTAAAAGATCCGGAGTTAATCAAAGATGTTCTCATCAGAGACTTTTCGAAATTCGCTGATCGCGGATTTAATGTCCATGAAAGAGTACGTATACAGACGTATAACTTATGCAACTTGTTTTTAGAACTTTTGGATACGTTTCGAGTCATTACGACGAGCAAAGTAATACACACAATTACCTTTTAATCTTTATACAATATCTATATTTATATTTATTTACAAATCACTATCCATTGTAATATATTATCATATATTATCATCATTATACTTTATATTGTTACATAAGATTATAGCTAGTCGAATAGTCAAAATTTTCAAATTGCCTTATAAACTGTTTTTAGGTCGAACCATTATCGCAGCATCTGTTCAACTTGGAAGCAAAACGATGGCGTCCATTGAGATCGAAGCTCACTGTGTACACATCTGGCAAATTGAAAAATATGTTCGATCTGATCATTGAATGCGCAAACTATTTCGAAGAATATCTGGATAAAATGGTTGCGCAGGGAGAACCTGTCGATTTTCGTGAGATAACAGCAAAATTTACAACGGACGTGATAGGATCATGTGCTTTTGGGATCAACATGGGTGCACTGTCAGACGAAGAGAGCGAATTTCGTAAAATCGGTAAACAAATTTTTGAACCATCTTTGGAGGCGATAATACGAATGAAATTCAAACTGATGATGCCGAAACTGTACGATTTGTTGGGTTACATTGTGCCGGACAGAAGACTTGCTCCGTTTCTAACCAAGCTCGTTACAGATACTATGAAATGCAGAAAACAGAACAACGTGTATAGACCTGACTTTATACATACGCTAATGCAACTTAAGGAAGACTCAAAAAAGTTACACGATCTTGGTACGTTTAATAGCGTAGTATACAAAAAATTTGCTAAAATACATCCATTAGATATTTGTTAGATGGGTAAAATTACGACACAATGTTAAATCGTTTTTTACAGAATTAACAGACTCTTTCATAACCGCACAAGCTTACGTTTTCTTTGCCGCTGGTTTTGAAACTGGTTCGACGACAATGAGCAATGCACTTTACGAACTCGCGCTGAATCCCAAAATTCAAGAGAAGTTACGCGAAGAAATCAACGAACACTATAAGAAACACAACGGAGAGTTAAATTACGAGTATATTAAAGATATGGAATACTTGGACAAAGTATTTAAAGGTATGCGTATAACTTTGCTTTGAGAAGAAAAATGAAAAATGAATAAAGTGGCATTTTTTTCAATTTATTCCTATAGAAACATTAAGGATGTATCCACCAGGAACTCTGTTACCAAGAAAATCAAATTCTGAATATATCTTCCGAGATCCACAAATCAGTATACCGAAGGGCGTGATGATTTGGATACCCGTATACGCGATTCATCGTGATCCCGAAATTTATCCGAATCCTGATGTTTTTAATCCCGAAAATTTCACTCGAAATGCCATTGATGCTCGACATCCGATGCATTATTTACCATTCGGCACTGGACCAAGAAATTGTATTGGTACGTTAGATCGATGATATTTACTCAATGACTACCAGAATTATTAAGAGAAAAGAATGTCGACTTTGTACAAATTTCAAACACGCACATAAAACTTTTCTTTCAGGTGCACGTTTTGCTGTTTATCAAACCAAAGTGGGTATAATCACAATTCTTCGCAAGTATAAAGTGGACGTTTGCGAGAAAACTATGATCCCTTATCAATTTGACCCAAATGCATTTCTGCTAGCTCCAAAAGGAGGGATCTGTTTGAAGATAACAAAAATATAAACGTAATTCAAAATTACGATGGCTTTTTAAAATATATCGATTGTAATCGTCTAATTAAAATCGGTACCCAGTGTGTTTTGTAACAAAGCAGTTTATAATACATTATATATTAATTTATACTTTATATTTATATTTTGTTACATTTTATTTATTTCACTTATTTATATTTTAACAATAAATAGGCGATACATATATCCGTAGTATAGTAATCCTTAAACCTATCACGTTTTGCATGCATCGCGATATGTCACAGGGACAAGAAAAATAATGCTCTTTATCGCTCATAGTTACACGATGATGTTTCCACCGATACATGTGCTTAACTCTACAATTGCGTCGAGTCTGTTAAAAACAACCAATCGAGCCCTTATTCCTTCCACAGGATCTTTTTCCATCTCTGCACACTTACGTGCCTTCCAACAGTATAAAGTATAACTGACTATAATTTACCATATCATCATAATTAGAATCAATGAAGAGGTTCGAATCTGACAGATTTCAAAAAAAGGAATTTTCGAAGCTATCTCATAAGTAACGAATTTCCCCCTCTCTCTCTCTCTCTCTCTCTCTCCGCCTTATACAGATAAAATTTCATATTATTCATAATATAAATATTCGAAATATTCTTCATAAACATTCTACACGAAAAAGTAGAATTTTTCTTAATTATATAACATAATTTATATTTCCAAGTGTCGTAAAATACACAGATCTGACTTTTACGTTTCTCAGATCTTAATACTCAGTGCTAACGTACCGTTAGCCGCGATCATTTCCAGAAACTACCGGGAGGGAAACAAATTACGGCGGACAGCTCCAAGTCATCATGAACGATAACTGCAAGGACGGTGTAGGTATAAAACTACGAGACTTTCTACTGTAGAAGCCAGTTACATGTAAAAACGTGTTCAAGAAGCACCTTCGTAACTTTCTCCTTTACTACCGAATAACACAAATAGCAAGTGTATTTATCGTAAGTTGACTTATATTTCTGCTTAGTTGTAAATTTATTATGCGATATGTCTGGCAAACAACGTAAGATTTCCCTCATTCTCAAGTAATTTGTTAAATTTCCAATTACATTTCTCTTTGGTTTACATTTATGGTTTACTTTTCGAATCATCAAGCTTAACATCTCTCATATTTAACATTTAGGCTTAAAACTTACTCACTCAAACTCTCTTGTATTCCTCCTAAACCTCAATAACATACAAATTCAAATAGAAATATAAAATAAGAAACTTTAAGAATATAAAATGTAAGAGTGCGGGAATATAATATAAAACTTAAATTAACGACATATAACGATTAACATATCAACGAGGAATTCATTTATCGACTTGCTTCTGTTTCGCTTTCGTTTGCCAAAAAATTTGCTAATAAATATATATTTGTCGGAGATGGAAGGACAGCGAGGATTCCCGTCCGGAATGTTGGGAAAACCCCCAATACACTAGTCCAGACTTTGCTATAATTGCACTTAAGTAATAACATTAAGGAATAGTTTTAATGTTCCAATCTGACTTTATGACGATGAGTTCGGGCTCGAAGTGACATAACGCGTCACGGAAGGGACGTGTACCTGACAGAGGTATGAAATGATTATATGGCTCTCCTTAAAAACAAACATTGACACGAGAAGTGAGGACAGGAGTATATAAGGACAGTTTCTTTTGGATTAAGAGAGAGTTAGTTTGTTAATTAATCGTTGAACGAATTGCTGATTGAGTTATCGAGAAGTTACCCGAATCGAGTATTACGTTGATACTTGTCCTCCCGTGGACCGTGGATTCGTTATCGAACCTGAATTCGTTATCACAATCATCTCGACCATCCTCTCGCCATTACTCATAGCCTCTTGTAGTGCCCACATTTGTACCGATAAATATTAGCTACATCCACGACGGTAAAGTAAGTAAAGGTTCATCGATACCATCATCATCATAAAATCGATATTCATCAAGTTTAATCATAGGTCTTTATCGCAATCTAAATTCTACACGCAGTACTTCAAACGATTACCATTATTATCACACAAACATTATCTCCTAAAAACTAAGTACTCTAACTATAAAAGTACTTATCACCCTAACTTGTCAAGTTTTCTTTCTAGACGGCTGTAACTGCACAAGATATTTTTAGAATAATGTAATATCTACCTGTCTATTTTTAGAATAATTTTACTGCATTTTAATTACTATGTACATTATTCGATCTCACACAGAAATATTTATTACATTATTTTCAAAATTCATGACTCGTAGTAATTTGTTGTTATTTGTAAATTGTTATCGTCAAATTTAGCATCATTTGCTTAAAACATTTTCTTTTATTCTCTATGAACCAGAGAGTTAAAATGATTTAATTTGCTCGATATGATATGGGTAATACCTCAATTATTCAAACATTTTTCGCGCCTGTCGATGTTTTACTTATTCTACTATCTGTCTGATCTCATTTTCTCAAACGTAAATACTCTTCACTTCGCGCTTATCTTAAAGAGCTATTTATCTACTTGACTACGAAAAAGAAAAAATAATTTTTCATACAAGTAAATGTTACTTATTATATTAAGTCTAATAACAGTTATCTACTTTACAAAAGTTAATACACCGTACCATACATATTCTATATAAAATAATATAATAATCGTTAGAAATCTTCAACGTAACATCGTTAAAATAGTTTGCAACTACTGATTTCAGATAATCGAGCAAAATGACGAACTATTTCGAGATTTTATGCGGCATGGCAGCACTGCTTCTTGCTCTCTACTACTATGCCACATTGACTTTCAATTTCTGGAAAAATCGCGGAGTAGTTGGACCACAACCTCTACCATTCCTTGGTAACACCAATGAACTTATGTTCGCGAGGAAATCAATGCCTCACTATCTCAAGGAAATTTACAATACCTATAAAAATGAACCAATGGTTGGTTTGTACATGAGAAGATCGCCTCTGCTTGTTGTGCAAGATGCAGAATTTATCAAGGACATTTTAATCAGAGACTTCCCCAAATTTGCGGATCGAGGATTCCATGTTTATGAAAGGGTAAGCGAAATTATAAGTTCGATTTTCAGAAATAAAACAATGTAATCCTTCGTGCAACAATTTTAGCTCGATATACTGTATAACTTAATTTTTCAAATTAATTAATCCATAGACGGAACCGCTATCTCAAAGTATCTTCAACTTGGAATCTGAGAGATGGCGACCATTGAGAACTATGTTCTCGCCGATATTCACATCCGGCAAGTTGCGAGAAATGTTTTACCTTATAATCGAGTGCTCGCAGCACTTGGAGAAGTATTTGGACAAGTGTGTGGAGAAAGGAGAGCCCATCGAATGTTGCGAAGTAATGGCAAAATTCACCACTGACGTAATTGGCACTTGCGCCTTTGGTATCGAGATGAGCGCAATGGCGAACGAAGACAGCGAATTCCGTAAAATGGGCAGGGAGGTATTCGCTGTGAATCTGGAAAACGTCATACGACAAAAGATGAAATTATTCATGCCAAAGTTGTACCATTTGCTCGGTTATGTAATACCCGATCGAAAGTTAGCACCATTCTTTACAAAAATTGTGACTGACACTATAAAGTACAGGAAGGAGAACAACATCGTTAGGCCAGACTTCATAAACATGCTGATGGAGGTAAAGAAACATCCGGAGAAGTTTGGAAACATCGGTACGTCTCACAGACATTTAATTCTATAACAATGATTCATTTGCCAAATAGATTTAAAACGGATGAAAATTTGTTAATCGATGTAAATTGATCGCGTGATCGCAATTCTTTCCAGAACTGACAGATTCGCTACTCACCGCGCAGGCATTCATATTCTTCGCAGCCGGTTTTGAAACTTCCTCTATGACTATGAGCAACGCTCTTTACGAATTAGCTTTGAATCAAGACATACAAGACAAGCTTCGCGAGGAAATCAGAGAGCATTGTTGCAAGAGTAATGAAGGGTTAAGATTCGAAGATATCAAAGGAATGCAATATTTAGAGAAAATATTCAAAGGTATCTTTAATTCTCACTTTATCTAATCGAATCTATTTCCAATTAATACGATATATCTAATGAACTTGATATGTCTAATGAACTTTTATATTTATACAAGCAACATTGATATTATTAGATGACCATAATTTGGGTACACAACACAAACGCATACAAATATGACGCGTTATCGTCTATTAATCAAATATTACTTTTGATTTTATTAATTATATCGTTGCTATTAATACCATACATTTCTAATCTAATCTGTAATTCTTTCGACTTAAACTATATTTTTAATTCGATCGACAGCTTTAACATACTTTCGTAGATTTACAGTTTTTAACAAACGTACGAATTCTAATTTATCCTTTTTTTACAGAAACGTTGAGAATGTATCCGCCAGGAGCATTCATACCGCGAAGAACGAAATCGAGCTACACTTTTAACAATACTAAAGTTACGATACCACAGGGAACACTGATATGGATACCAGTGTTTGCGATTCATCGTGACCTGGATATTTATCCGAACCCTGATTCATTTGATCCCGAAAAGTTCAACGAAGAAGCCGTGGCTGCCCGACACCCCATGCATTATTTACCATTTGGCGATGGTCCAAGGAATTGCATTGGTATGTAAATTACATGACCATTTTTATTTTTGCATGATTTAGAAAGTTTAGAAAGTTTAGGAAAAGAAAATGAAAAATATTTAATATTAAGAATCTATCGTTCCTTTCTACTTCCATCTGTAACTTGTTAAATTCACTCCTCAATGAATTACAAATGTTCACAACTATTAATCAATTTTTCGTACTGTATTATCTCTAGGTGCACGTTTCGCAAATTATGTAACCAAAGTTGGACTAATTACGATTCTTCGTAACTACAAGGTTGAAGTCTGCGATAAGACGATAATTCCCTACGAATTTGAGCCAGGTGCATTTGTGTCAGCACCAAAAGGAGGAATATACCTGAAGATAACGAAAATACGAAGCGAGTGCTGAAAAATTCTGTTAGATAATTTTTAAATCTGCTCAAACAACATATATTTATGTAAATTTCGCAAAAATCTAGTTTGTATTACGGACATGCAAATGGTCGTTTCTAGTCAAAAGAAATAAATATGGGTACTCTTGTTATTTAGATTACAATCATCGTTCTAATAATCTGTTTATTCGAGTAACGTATAAATTTTCATTTCTTTATTGTAAATTTAAACATCTATTTATATATCTATATTTTTTCCACTTAATTATCCATTGTTTCGCACTTAATTATAAAGTGGGATTAGGATTAAATAACTTATATCGTTATTAATATAAATGAAAATTGTAATGTGAAAGATTTGCAAGTGCCTTCAATAAACAAAATAAGTCTTTTTGCCTATTTTAGAGAATTCCTACAAATTTGAAACATGTAAATCAATAATTGATCTTGCAAATTATTTGATAAATATCGATATCTCATCCATCTCAGCTATTTCGATGATCTTTGAGCGTGTTGAAGAAATCAACATCTCAAACATGCCGATAATTGTGCATCCGTGGAAATTTATTAAAAAGTTGAGAATCAAAAATATAAAATAGGTGGAAAACTGACTCGTAGCTGCTATCGTTATTATCATTATTTCAGAGAATTATATTTACTTATTACATATTATTTAAGCGAAGATTAGGTTGACGTAAATAACGCCGATAACAAAATTGTTAATGATTGTAGTAAAAATGAACTTCTTGTTCTATGAAATTCAGTCCAATGTCCTACCACAACGAATCACCATTTCCCTTTATTGAATGACTCGCTTCTTCTTATCAACTCGCAAGATGTGTTAATTCGATACGCACACTTTCCCGTCAAAAATTTTCTATAGATAAGATCAGTGGCATGAACTCAATTGCAGAGCCTCGATATCGTTCCATTAATATTCAACTTTTTTCTCAAAGTTTGTTAATAAATATTCAAATCTATGCGTTTATATAACATTGTTTCCTGATTTATGTACATACTACAGATTTTAAAAGAAATGACATCCTGAATGCATTATAAATACTGCTTTTAATTACAAAACAAACCGATGCCAAATACAAAGAGAATTTCAATTTCAACGGTACCTATGTAATTATAAAAAACAGATTATTAAACGTGTGTATTTGTATTTTACACGTAAACGATACAATTCCACGAATATTTGTTATCATTACTTGTAATAGCCTTAATTTCTGTTTTCCAGGAGATGATGTGCAATGTATTAAAAGAAAATCGGTCTGACGAAGATTTCGCGAAATTTCTGATAAAAGAACGTGGCCTTGCATGAATCTAATTCAAAAGCAGAGAGATAGAAAGAGTGTAAAGTCTATAGTAAGAAATAATCACAAAAAAAGCATCCAAGATTTCGTAGTTTATAGTATTCTGTATTCTTCATTCATACAATCAATATTTTCGTGAAATAATATTTACATTTGTCTTGCATCCTTTGCGGGACTTCGTTTGTGGTATTGAGCTACCTACGTACGTTGAAATAACATCAGTACCGATTACATATCATTATATAGTTACCATGCGTAATTAATGAGCGAAGTCATACAGATACTATTTTATGACCACGATGCATTTCTGCAATGTAACTGATACTGTTCTATGTATCACAACATGTTTCAATGTATTTCGGCGGTTTTACTTCAATTATTACATATGAATATGTATAATGAATAGAAGATGACATGACGATAAATACAAGATTATATATGACGAAAAGCGAGATACAGAAGGAACACTTGAACAAATTCGTTACACAGCCTTGTTTTAAAGTGGAGAGGAAGAGCATCGAATATCATTTGTAAGCGTGAAAAATTTCCATATTTTTCATAGAAAGAATTAACTTTAAGGCTTACATTAATTACATTGACTTTTTTCTATAACACCCTGTATATTTAGAAAGAAAATCACACAACGGAGCATTGACATCGTAAACGCAAGTCATTACAATTGATTTAACGACCGTCTCTGGAGAATAGGAGAACCGATGAAAAACCTTGTCACTATAAACACACGAGAGGCAAACATTTGTTAAAACTCGTAGAAAGATAGCTTCTATATTAACTAACAAGATAACGAGCGGAGAGATACGTGATTATTTATAAAATTAACTTTCCATATTGAGTTCCATTCCCTTGAGTAATGAATAAATAAAACTATCGTCATGTTCGTAGAACTTTATGTAGATACAAGTCATATCAAAATATGTTGCGTGAAATGATTCAGCCTGATTAACTCTATTTACTTAACATACTCAACAGCAAGAAAATGCAAGTTCATGCTTTTTTAGTGGCAGATATGTGGACTGTAAGCATTAAGAGCTAAAAATCTAGTCTGTACACATTTGATACGAATGTTCGTGTGCCAGCATTATAAATTCCAACAGTGATGTGTTCTCGGAAGGGAATTATACAGCAGTTCGTTTAACGACGTCAGTCTACGACGAACCTTCGTCCGAACAGAAGTTGACGGCACATCGACATGGCTGACTATTTTCAAATACTAAGTGTGATCGTCGCAGTTTTTCTTGCTGTGTATTATTACTTAACATGTACGTTCGATTTTTGGAAAGATCGTGGCGTTGTTGGTCCTCGACCTATACCAGGTTTTGGAAATATCAAAGATGTTATGCTGAGAAAAATCAGTATAGGTGACTATATAGCACGCCTGTACGAGAAATACAAAAACGAACCAATGATTGGGATATTCGTGAGAGGATCGCCTTCGCTTATTCTGTGCGATTTAGATCTCATCAAGGACGTTTTAATCAAAGACTTCTCTACGTTCGACAATCGAGGACTGAATGTTCCTGAACGGGTATGTACAATGTATACTATCGTTCAAAGGTATATGGACATGAATATTTTTTTTAACATAGTATAATTTAATTGCAAAATTCCGATATTCTTTTATCAAGATTCTACGAGATTAATCGTTTCAACTTAATTTTAATCGCAGACTGATGCATTGGCTACGAATCTCTTTAACGTAGAAGCGAGAAGATGGAGACCTTTGCGAACGAAACTCTCGCCAGTATTTACTTCCGGTAAACTAAGGGAAATGTTTCCTCTGATATTAGAGTGTGCGGAAAATTTGGAACAATGCTTGGAGAAGGTTATAGAAAAAGGAGGCTTCATGGATTGCCGCGAAATAACAGCGAGATTCTCTACTGACGTTATTGGAAGCTGTGTTTTTGGTATCAACATGAACGCACTGTCAGACGAAGAGAGTGAATTTCGAAGAATAGGAAGAAAAATCTTTGATCAAAATTTGAAAACGATCCTCAGGATAACCTTTCGAGATACTTTTCCACGGTTGTATAACTTTCTTTGGTTCTTGATACCACAATCGGAAGTAACTACATTTATTACAAAACTGGTCGCGGATACGATGAAATATAGAGAAGAAAATAACATCGTTAGGCCGGATTTTATAAACATGCTGATGGAACTGAAGAAGCACCCGGAAAAATTAGCAGATATTGGTAAGCCAATTAATTGTATCTTTAAACAGGTTTTTAATTACTCAGCCATCGTTATGCATTGATTAATGATAAATTGAGATTAGACAATTGCTTAATTACGCAAACTACTATGTTTGATATAGATAACACTATAGCGCAGAATACTGATAAATTATTAATTAGAGTAGTACAATATAATTCATTCATTATAATATATATTTCACCTTCTATCGTAATTTTACGAAATTTTATAGAGTTAACGGACACAATTCTCGCTGCGCAAGCTTTTGTCTTCTTCGCGGCTGGATTCGAAACGTCTTCGACGACAATATCGCACGCACTTTACGAAATGGCCCTGAACCCTGATATACAAGATAAACTTCGGAGAGAAATAATAGAATTCCATGTCAAAACTAATGGAAACTTGAAATACGAACAAGTCAAAGAAATGAAGTACTTGGACAAAATATTCAAGGGTACGTTGTTGTTAAACGTATTACTAATAATTTAACTGCGAATGTTCATGCATTTAATCCCAAATTAGCGCGTGAAATCAATCACTAAATATTAAAATTACGCCATAAAAATTGTAGAAATAAAAATATCTATCCACGTATTAAAATTACGCGTATCTGCTTTTGTTAAACAGAAACGCTTAGAAAGTATTCAGCAGGAACGCTTCTAAGGCGACAAAGCAACGCTAATTATACCTTTAGTGGTACAAAGGTAACGATTCCTAAGGGTACCGGAGTATTTATTCCCGTGTATGCGATTCAAAGGGATTCCAATATCTATCCGGATCCTGAGAAATTCGATCCAGAAAGATTTAACGAAGACGCAGTAGCTGCCAGACATCCGATGTCCTATCTACCGTTTGGCGATGGACCAAGAAATTGCATTGGTAAAGCAAGGACAGATATTGAATTAAATAATTGTTCTTAATTTGTTTTGTATCCACGTAACGAATTTAATTATTGTTTCAGGAGCACGTTTTGCGATTTATCAAACTAAAATGGGACTGATAAAAATATTACACAAGTTCAAAGTTGATGTTTGCGAAAAGACAATAACTACTTATGTACATAACCCGAATTCCCTTACATTGTCTCCCAAGGGTGGAATTCACTTGAAAATAAGCAAAGTAGAAAGTTGAATTTATTACTTGAACGGTAGCCATTCATAGATTTCAACTTCAAACATAACGTAACATATTTTTTATTTGTTGCTCCAAGATTTTGTATTTTGCACTTTTTGACTATCCTATAATAAAAGAAAATTATAAAAGCGTATTAAGCTTTCGACCTCTTCTAATCATTCATCTGCGAAGAAATTGATAAAAACACTGTTTATTATTATTCTAATTATTGCTATCATATTTGTCAAATAATTACTATAATTTGTAGTAAATGTGCTTCTACAAACTTATTATCTATAACAGATCTATTTCCACAATGTAATGAAATATTAAAAAAATGTTTTCTCCAAAAATCTGGCGAATCTGACGAATCCATACATATCGTATTACCAGAATCACATTATAGTACCAGAGAAATTAATGGGAATAGAAAGACTGGGCATTTCCAACTATGGAAATGTTTTTTCCCCGAGAGAATGACATTTTCTTTTTGCACGATATGCACTAGATAAACGCTATGGAATCTGGGTTTAGTAGGAAAAATGTCGACATCCTGGAGTCTGATCTACTAACGGATTTTGTAACGCTACTGTAGACCGCATTTTAGCTATTATTCAAAATAAATATCTGAATTACCATTCTTTGCTTTGTAGTTGTTTGTTACTACGTATTCTAGTCATTTTTAATTGCCTTGCAATAGTGTTTTGTTTAATCAGTAAGTATCCAATACTGACGGCGACACCTACAGAGCTGCGCATCACTCTGCATCGATCAGATCCCTCAGTTAAATCCAGTACTCTGGGGATAATATTCTTCCTAGACAGTTAGTCGGTAGAACCGTGCAAGCGAGCATAGCCGCAGACAAAATAGATACATATTACGTTTCATTAATCGACTTATCTTTCCCGTACTAAATACTATTCAAATAAAATGCCGATCTGCTAGCTATATGTGACCTGTGTGACTGTTTTATTAGTCATTAACGTTGCGTTTATGCAACTCATTTTGATTGCGCATTCCGTTATTTCATCGAATCATACATACTCCATTCCACTGAGAAGATTCCGCTGCGGTAGTGCCTCCGAAATAGTGTCAAACAGTGAATTTCTACGTCGTGTCAAGCGTCGTAAGCATTTTGTTTATCGCACGTTACATACAACCATTTTGTTATACAATATATGCAAAGTAATAGTATAATATATACAATGAATCACTATTATTAACTCTTCCGTGCTTCTGCTGTGCTTCTTGTCGACCTTGAAGCACAGCTTCAAGTTGCTAATGATCGAGTAGTACGAGTTTGTCTACAAACGCATTCACACGCATGATATAATAATGATATATATATGTCTATCGTTGTTTTTTAATTTTGCACGAGTTTTTATTTGATAAATCGATAGAACTCGAATATCGTGTACTAAAGATATTTCAAAAAAAGATAATTTAATGGTTCGTTAAAATTGTGTACTTAATTTTTACATTATAATAAATACATCACATATAAATTTTGTTAACTAACGTACGAAAAACAAACGACAACTTTAAACAAGAAATATCAATTAAAAAATTCGTGATATTATTTTCCTCGTTTCAAATAAGTTTTGATTCTATCGATACATGTCACGACAGACATAGACTTGTTCTACATCCGAACAGATTAAAAACGATAATTATTTAATACTTAAACTCATTACGAAACTAAAAATAATTTAATCTTACTCTTTTCATTCAATTATATCTAAATTTAATTGAGAATTGATTTTCATCCCAAAATACTGGCAAATGCTAACATATAATTTTTACGATTTTGAATTAACTATGGAAATATAAGTAGTAACGATATCTTGCAGAAAATTTACTTTTATGAATCATCGTTTGTCCATCAGATTAGAAGCAACGAGTAGCGCAATGGCAACCTACTTCGAAATTATTTGCGGAATAATCGCGCTATTTTTCGCGTTCTATTTCTACTTTACTTCGACTTTCGATTTTTGGAAAGTCCGAGGAGTACCTGGACCAAAGCCTGTACCAGTGTTCGGTAACATCAAAGATGTAATGTTACTAAGGACATCGATGTGCGCGTATTTGAAGAAACTCTGGGAGGAGTACAAAGACGAGCCAATGGTTGGAATATTTACAAGAAAAACGCCTATACTAATTCTTCAAGATCCGGAGCTCATAAAAGATGTCCTAATAAGAGATTTCTCTATATTTGCTGATCGGGGGATTCCTGTTCACGAAAAGGTAAATGAGCTAACTGGTAAGCCATGAATCTTAAGCATGCCATGGCACACTGCTTCTTTAAACTATTTAATGGCATACCGCGATCTTTTTACTTTTGTCGAATATCGAACCAGTTTCAAAAATCATCATAGGCGGAACCACTATCTCCACATCTCTTCAATTTGGAGTCACAGAGATGGCGTCCATTAAGAACAAGGCTCTCGCCAGTATTTACATCTGGCAAGCTCAAAGAGATGTTTCCTCTGATATTAGAATGTTCGAAACACTTGGAACAGTACCTCGATAACCTAGTAGCGAAAGGCGAGCCCATAGAATGTCGCGAATTAACAGCCAAATATACGACGGATGTAATAGGTAGCTGTGCCTTTGGTATAGAAATGAACGCGTTATCCGACGAAGATAGTGAATTTCGTCGAATGGGCAAACAAGTGTTTGCCACTTCCTTTAGGCAAATTTTGAGATTTAGACTTAGACAAATATTTCCTCACCTTTACAATTTACTCGGTTCCATAATGGCACCACTGGAAATTACTACGTTCCTCACGAAGATAATCGTTGATACGATGAAATACAGGGATGACAACAACATCGTGAGGCCTGACTTTGTGAATATGCTTATGGAACTTAAGAAACATCCAGATAAATTGGAAAATATTAGTAAGTACCTTAAATTTTTCTTCTTAGCAATTTTTAAGCAATTCCCACGATAACTATCTCTGATAAGCAGTTCACGTTATCCTTTAATCGTCTTGTACAGAGCTTACGGACACTCTACTAACGGCTCAAGCGTTCGTTTTCTTCGTTGCTGGATTTGAGACTTCTTCGTCAGCTATAAGCAATGCCCTTTATGAATTAGCTTTAAACCCCGAGATACAAGACAAATTGCGGCAAGAAATTAAAGAACACTTTGAGAAAAACGACGGTGAATTGAAATATGACCAAATAAAAGATTTGACATACCTGGATCTAGTATTTCGAGGTGCGTAACTTGCGTTATCCGTTTTTTACCATAACTTTGACTCACATTCGTTTAATAACCATAAACTAATTTTTATTGCTTAAATTTATTGCAGAAACGTTAAGAAAGTATCCTGCTGGACCGCTTATACTAAGAAAGTCAGTGAGCAGTTATACTTTTAACAACACTAAAGTTTCCATACCGGAAAAGACATTCGTATGGATACCATTGTACGCGATTCATCATAACCCTGATATTTATCCAAATCCTGATGCTTTTATTCCTGAAAGATTTAACGATGACGCCGTTGCATCACGAGATTCCATGCACTATTTGCCTTTTGGTGACGGGCCAAGAAATTGTATTGGTACGTTTTTAACTATTTTATCTGATAGTTATCTTTTTTTAATGCTGCAAAGATACTATATTAATTTTAAGAAGTACTGCGATATATTCAACGACATACTTAATATATTTCAGGCGCCCGATTTGCAGTTTATCAATCCAAAGTTGGTTTGATAACAATACTTCGCAATCATAAAGTTGAAGTTTGCGAGAAAACTATGATTCCGTATGTAATTGATCCAGCTGCTTTCTTATTAGCGCCGAAAGGAGGAATATATCTAAAATTAATTAAAGTAGAAAGTTAGTACCAAATCTTATAATATTTTCGATACGTAATTTCACGATTTTGAACTAGGACTTGAACCTTTGATTAGTTTTACTTTCTTAAATTATTATATACATAAATTTATTTATAAATTATCAAGGATTACAAAAATAAAATATTACATGTATAATAATTTAAGGAAGTAAAACTAATGTAACAAACAAAAGTTCAAAATCGTGAAATACATACACATCTAAATAAATAAGTAAATATATATATCCCATTGTTAAATCGAAAGGACTCTGTATGAGGCGGTATCAAACTATTAATTACTAACACAAAAATTAATATCTTCCATGTATCATAGTTCCGTTATTTATTACAAATTATTAAACTGGACAGTACACCGAACTTAAAAGAGCCCAACTTAATTATTTGTAAATGATATTATATTTTTGTAATAATTATATGTAATTAATAAAAATATAAACAGACGTTAATTAAGTACCGAGTAAATTTTCTAGTTACACAAAAACGTAATAACGATTGCAGCCGATCAAGTCATATATTATTCGCTATAAAATTCATAATTGTATCTCGCAGTGATGTAATTAGTATTTGTATATCAAATAATACTAATTGGCTAGGTGAAAGTTGTTGTACGTGGAGATTCCTTCACCCTTCTTTTACGCATGTACATTCAAGATCTATCATCTGAAATATCAATTTACAAGTAAGTAGTCCTTTTATCGTGCGCTTGCAAAACGTAAAATACTATAATTTATTTTTAAAATAAAATTAGTGAGAATATAACGTGTAATAATACTTACATTTCTGGCTTTTGAAGCATCGGTATATCCTTTCCAGAAGATAGGGAAAAGTAGAAATTGTGATTGTCCTTTATCAAAATACGAAATATTGTATCAGTATTTCCATATCAATTACATATATCAAAATGAAACAATAACCGAATTAAAATTCTGTCTTAAAAGTTTATAATGTAAGATACCGGCACATCTAATTATCAAATGAGCGAAAGAATTCAAATAATTGTCAAATAATTGTGGGTAGCCACCACAAGATAATCAAACAGATAAAAAATTCTACCAAATGTCCAAATTGGACAAATTGTGAATGTGAAATTTTAAATAAATAAAAAAAAACAAAAAAAAAAAATTCGAGATACTCGAATTTTCAATAAATTCTTAAACAAACACGTATCAATTAACGAAACTAATAATAATGTAAAAACGGTAATAAAATAGCAATGGAATATTGTTTAATTAATAGATTAAGTTGTGCATATTACCTGTTACACCGTATAGAAAGCAAAAGTGATACATTTAACCGCTACAACTTTCAACATTTGACTAACGTTTCGTGGCATGGCGTCATCTAGCGGATATCCTATTGGTGGAAATTTCTATTGATTGAGATTTCCTATTGGTGGAGATATTTAACTTAGCAAGCGGGAAACATAGAAAATCGATCCGCCAAATTCGAATCGACAAATCCTTAGAAAAGCCAGTTGCACATATTATATTACATTGCATACAGTTAATATTGAGTTTGAAACATAGATGTCTTAGAAAATAAGGTATCCATTCTCTAATTTCATTTGTCGAATGAAATTTATCAATGAATATTGAATATAGTATGTATAACCTGACTGTCTTACCATTTTTATGTCATATGCGACTTTATCGACTCAATATATCACAAAATTACATTAATATTGTATACCATTGCCTAGTACCTTGTCCGTGATGTTATTATGCAATTGTAAATTACTCTTGTAGAGGATATATAGAATTCCATATTTCTATATTTTGTTCTGTATTTCATTCTGTATTTCAGAACACGTGACATGATACCATGCTCCTAGGCCAATAATTAATAATCGTTTGTAGTTCCATAAAATAAAATACTGTTCTCGTTAAATTTCAATGAAAAATAAAATTTCACATGCACTATTTAGACTTTTGAATTAATTCTCTAAATTTTATCTTCAAAATTATTTAATATAATCGTACTATTTGTGTCAAACACCTCTTTCTAAATGGTACATATTGAAAATATTACAATAATTCATAAAAAAGAACATTCAGATTTTTTTATATAAATAAATATCATGACAGCGTATCGTTAACAGTATCTTTTTTTCTAATGAACTCATTCCCGCAGTTAACTTCTCGGTTGTAGAAAAGAGGGACGCTAAATAACCGAATGACCATGAGGTTAGGTTCTATGAATCTGTACCGTCCAGTTGTGTGTCGGAAGAAGGTGCGAGGTGATTAATGCACCATCACCGTGGGAACGTTAATTTGAAAAAGCGATATAAAGCATGGAGAACATCTACTGACGAGTCATTTGACGAGTAGGTGCACGTCACCTACATCATTCCGTTCTTTCGTTATAACAATTCATCAGGAAATTTTCTACAACATCAATACTAAATATATAATAAAATGGAATATGAAATTAAAGGTGTCAGTAATTTTTCACACAGATCAAAACGAAAGAACTCCACCGTAAACGAGGAACTAGAATACTGGATGACTCGGCTACCAGAAGCTTTGAAAAGCCTTCCCATAATACGTTTGGCGATACCCGGTAAGTTTCAAAATATTTTCTCGTCTTATGAAAATCTATATTAGAAGCTAGAAAATTAATATTTATATTTCAAAGTTTTAAAGAGATCATTTAATTTTATTAGATCCAGAAGAATTAATTAATATTAAATTTAAAATTTCTTTCGACGTACACAAAATTTTACATAAAATGAAAATTTTTAAATCACATTGTCAGTTATATATTTCGATATATTTAAAAACTAATGATCCTGTTTCATACAATTATATTAACCTCAAAATTATAAAATTAGTACATGTAATATAAATTGATAACTTCTAATAGGTTCTCATGATACGATGACTTATACCATAAATCGGCACAGTGACGTGGGACCCGACGAACCAAGATACATCAGAGCTCTTGGTCGTTATTGTTCGTTCGTTTCAAAACCTGTTATTTTTAATTGGTCCATTACACAACATGAAAGCATCAAGGATCAGCTCGATGGTGGAATTCGATATTTAGACTTACGCGTGGCGACGAAGCCAACGGATGGGAATATCTATTTTGTTCATGGCTTGTACGGATCGAAAATATATCAACCACTCCATGAAATAGCAGAATGGCTGTCTTATCACAATAACGAGATCGTAATCCTAGATTTTCAACATTTTTATTCATTCTCAGAAATGGATCATCACCATCTCGTTGAAACGATTTTCCGAATATTTCAAACAAAATTATGCCCCATAGCATCTACGTTTAATCACATCACATTACATTGGCTTAATCTGGAAAAGTACCAAGTCATCGTTATTTACAGAAACGAATATGCACAAAATTATACAAATTTATGGCCAAGTGGACTGTGGCGCACTCCATGGCCTAACACCGTTAACGTTAACGAGCTTATAAACTTCTTAGATATCGAATTGAAGACGCGACCATTACAAATCGGTTTCGTATCACAATGCCTCTTAACACCTGATATTCCTTATGTATTGAAACATCTATGCGGTACATTGCAGAGAGATTTAGTACCATCGTGTCAAAAAGCAATTCTTCCGTGGATAAATAAAAAACGACCTGGCCGTGGTGGTTTAAATATCGTTATTGCTGATTTTATATCTGATCACAATTTTTTATTTTGTAAGACAGTCATCAATACTAATAAAAAATTGTATTTCAATGTACAATATTCCGTGTGAAATATTTTGTACTCGAATGCACATATGTATATACAAATTGAATATGAAATTTACGGTTTCAATGCAATCTGTTTGTGAAAAATTATTGTAAAGATATTCTTCTATCATACATTTTCAATGGAAAATTTATTTTACTTCTAAAGAAGTATCTGTATATATAATAAATAGTATAATAGATTCATGTTTATGTTACTTTATTAAAAATCTAAATATTTCATTTTTATTCTAAACCCTGGCATAACTTCTAAAGTTTAATAACATCATAATATCAATGGCTGCAGTACGTTCCTTACTTATAATTTTTAATCTATATAAATATAATACTATGAAATAACAATGATTTGCTTGAAAAGTGTTGATGAAAAAATGTTTTAAGAATAACATTTATGACATTTAGCTAATTGATTAAAAAATATTGAATAAAGTTTCACGTTTAAATGTTCAGTTCATGCACACTGAAATAGTATTTAACATCATATCATTATTATTAAATATTTACTTTCTATAAATCAATATAAATTTCATACTAATATTTTATTCTTAAATCCTATATTCTTAATATTTTTGTTCCATTTTTCACTTATATTTTACTCTATTTAATTTTAACTACTTTGATTAATATATATATATATATGTCATTATTTAAGTAATCAAAAGAATATGCTTTAAGTATTTCAATATGATTTACGAGCAGCATATATCAATATGATTGAAAGGATACATGCGTGAAGAATTTTTTATAGCTATGGTCTACTATTATGATATAAATATTTAGTAAGAATATTTATAACATAAAAGGGTGGATTTCAACAAAAATTGTGCAATAAGTAATATTAATATCAGTTCAAAACAACAATTATATATATTGTCCCCATAATATGTTGCTGCACTTTTATCAAGTCAAAGATCTTTATAACATATTATGTTGAGTTTATGGCTTATTTGATAAGTTATAATAATTATGCGCAAAATAAATATGTAACAGTAATGAGATATATTTTCAACAGGAAAACAAAATGGAGGTATATATCACAAATAAAAAATATAAAAGTATTTTTATCTCACAGAGGTCGATTTTAAGTATGTAATATGTACTTACTATACCTCTGTGACAATTTAAAGCTATTTAATGAAATTTTGATAGTTGTAAGAAATACGTAAATATGGTTGAAATGATACAGCTTTGCTATATGAGCTAAATTAAGTAGGCAGTTCAATTGAGCAACTTATAGCTCTTCAAAAGTTTTAACAAATTCTCTATAATTAGTTTTATTTGGTCATAATGCTTTCACCTTAAGCTGCTTCATTTTAGGTGCTCGTTTTTTAGCCAGTCTTCGTTGTTCTTTCTCTTCCCACTTTCTTTGTTTATCAGGATCTTCTTCTTGTAATATACGTTCCTTTTCAGCTCTACGACGTTCTTCTCTTCGCTGTGCAGCTGCTTCAGCTCTTGCTGCATGAGTTGTTTTTAAAAATGCTTCCTCTACTCTTAATCTATTTTTATCCGCTTTGCTTTTACCCTAAAAATAGGATGAAATTTCAATGAATAAAACAACAGTACAAATTAGAATAATAATATAATTTTAAAATAATACATATATATATATATATATATTCAAACCTCTTTGGATAATTTAAAACGACGTAATTTATCTAATAAATAGAAGGTTAATTGTAAAAGGAGTTTTAATTTTTCTTGACCTTCTGCATTAGTGGTACGTCCTTTAATACTTATATTTAATCCAACAAGTAAAACTCTTTTTACTTCAGGCATCGTTAGCTGAGTTGTATCTCTAAAGTGAAATTAAAGGTATGGCAACATGAAGCAAGAAAAACATTATTCTTAAAACAAAACGTATTTAATACTTACTCTTGTTGTTTTGGACCACTAAATTGATCGCTAATATGTATGTAATCTATATATGGTGCAAACTTTGAAAATGCTTGTAAAACTCTTGTATCTAAAATAGCTGATGCTGCTTCAGCAATTTCAGACATTACATAAAAACCTGATGGAAGACCAAATTTTTCCCCTGGTCTCTTTTCTGGACAATAAACACTAATATCAGCCATATCACGTACTAAATGCATTGCAGTCCTTTTTGTAGCTATTGCTAATACAAAACTATCTGTTTCATCTTTTGCTAATTCTACACGTATATGGGCCTGATCATTTTGAGGCCTCACAAGCTGTGCTAGTACCGCAACCAAATCTTGCCTCTTAATTAATTTCAATTCAATTAACATGGAATCGCACCCAACTCTCCCTGAACAATACAAGCTATAATGAGACTGACTTTCTTTTACCAAACCACTTTCAGATATATCTTTGCTCGATTTTCCTGTATCTCCAACAAGAGAGAAATTATCCAACAAAAGCTGCTTATGTTCCATGAGCCACACCTCTGCTATATGGGCATTTTTAAAACGTCCTGCTACATAATTGATAAAATATACTAATAGCCCAATAATCATTAGTATCTCTAAGTAAAAGCTATCCCATCTTGCACGCAGATGAAGTGGTATTTTTGTGATCGTTAAAGTAGAAGGTTCATCACTTTTTGGCCCTGCACTTCCTCCAGCTGCATCTAATCCCTCAAATTCTTCTTCATCTTGGAAATGATCAAATTCACTATCACCATCCACAATTAAAACATCTTCCTCGTCGAAATCTTGATTATTATTTGATTCTTTAAGGTGTTCTATATTATGATCATTGATTGTTTGAGCTGGCTTCTCTTCTTCGAAATCTTCAAACTCTGCAAATTCATTGTCTTCGGGAAGCTCTTCATGAAAATGTGCTGTGACCCATATGTTGGTTGCAACCAAGATGATGTGAACTACAACTAACCACAATTTCATTTTGTCTGAAACAGAGAAAGCAGCAAAGAGTTAGGACATTAAAACAATAAACTAAAAAAAAAATTATGCATATAATCCTATAATTATTCTGCTTGAAACGGGTAACTTCGAGTAATCTGCTATTAAAATAATTATATAAAAGTAATTCCCAAAAATGATATTTTCAGGCTAAAATACGAAGTGCTTGGAAAAGCTTTTAGTGGAATGATTTTATGTAACAAGAATGTTTACTCCTATCAATTTAATGTATTACACTAACTTCACTGTAAATTTATATAAAACTCTTCTAATTTTTCAACATTGATTCCAGTTACTAATTAAATGTAATGTTTGTAATAACACTGTCACAGCACCCTTTCGAGGTGACTTGCACGCCACGAAGCTAACTACAAACTAAAACGTCATTTCCTTGATTAAAAGATCGTAGTTATAGATAAGAATAATATTTTAATTGCCTTTTAATTTATGAAATATTTACGTTTGGGAAATTTACTTAATATTTCCCAAACGTGAAATATTTGTTATACATAACGTAATAATTCTCGAATACAACAGTTATATATATATATATATATATGTATACATGTGCATATATATACGACCACATTCACATATTTTAATTAAAAAAACACAAAATTATATAAAAATAGTTATTATTTTACTATCATAGTATTCTGCAGATAATATTATATCGATTAACTTTTCCAACGTGAATTAAATAACTTATACCAACATTATTGTTTCTTTAAGGTTTTAAAAAAATGAAAATGCGATTCGTCGATAAAGTAAATTTCTTTCTACAAACTTTCGTATACCAACATCGACACGACTATCTTGAGAAATATATCCAGTGATTAAACGAGAGATCGATTCAGTAAGTCCGTGGAAACGAGTGAGGGAAGTTGAGTGCGCACGCTTGATTGTAATACGTTTTTCCTGTCAAAATACGATGCGGTTGTTTCTGCGTTTTATCGCAATGCATCGTCAACCGTTCTAATGATTCGTTCGAGCATCGTGCTCTGATTAAAGGAGGAACTCAGACCAACCCACGAATTAGAAGTGTTCGAACAAGTGGAAATAAAAAGAGCGCGCGTTAGTGTAAATCCTAGAAAGCAAGTAATGGATCAATACTTTGCGGATAAGGGTAACATGCGGATACGACGAAAAATCGTCGTACCTTTATAGTAACGTGTCTTGTACGTGCGTGCGCTTGTTGCTTGAGAAACTTCAGAAGGTAAGTGTGTATTGTTGGAAAAATATACAGTGCCGACATTTATGTAGAACGTGTCACGCGATGTTTGGTTAAGGTGTACTACGTGTACGTACTTTCGTTTCTTTTTTTCCCGTTAAAAATAACAGAGCATCTAGTCAAAGAATGCTTCGAAAAATCAAGAAAGTTTCTCGCTAAACGTTAACAAAATCGCGGCCGCATTCCAACGCAATTTTTACGATTTCTCTGCTTAATTCTAATTCGTAATTAAAAAGAAATCGGAATATGCGTGAATTACGAGATGCTTACGAGTATTCTCGCTCCTTGTCGTTAACGAAGAAACGGATACTTAACTTTCGTCGGGGGAATAAAACAATTGTGTTTCGATTAATCAACGACCATGCAGCGGATCCTACACACTACTCCTACACACTAAAGATCACGCAAGTACAAACAGTTACGTCAACCGGCGCCTTGTTCGTCACTTTTCCATTAACGGCAACAATTGCTAAGAAGTACACGTACAATCGTAAAATTAAACAAACGAGACGTCACGTTGCTTCCATAAAACCTTTATTAATTCATAAAACACGATATTATCCGTTTTCTTTACAAGATCAACTATCACTTTTTACGATACGGTTATTTCACAATTTCACCGATTTTGCAATGGGTCGAATGGGATTAAGTATTGATTTTGCAAAGTAGTTGCATGCGTGCTCGAGTCCAGAGTCTCACCGTTGCGTTTTTCTCAGGTGAAGTCGTATCAGCCGTCAACATGGATAAGTCGGACAACCAGCTGAAAACCTGGAAAAAGAAGAGCATGAAGACGAGCGGCTCGGCGGACGTCGTGACCCAGCGCGTCCAGGTGGTCGTGCGTTGCAGACCGATGGACGAGAAAGAGTTAGCCCGTGGTTATACGCGTGTGGTCGACGTATTCCCTTCGAGGGGAGTGGTCGAGATTCGTCATCCGCGGGACGATCCTTCCACCGACAATGTGAAAGTTTTCACGTTCGATGCGGTCTATGACTGGAATTCCAGCCAACAAGACCTCTACGAGGAAACGGTCAGGCCACTGGTATCCTCGGTTCTTGACGGTTTCAACGGTACCATCTTCGCTTACGGCCAAACCGGAACAGGCAAAACGTACACCATGGAGGGCCTGAAGAGCGATCACGAGAGACGCGGTGTAATTCCACGATCGTTCGAGCATATTTTTAATCACATAGGCAGATCAGAGAACATGCAATATTTGGTGAGAGCTAGTTACCTTGAAATATATCAGGA